TGTGATAGGAATGGCTCGATACAAGTTCTTCATGTCCGATACCAATGTCGATCTGCTACCTCCTTTTCTCTTTCTTACCTTCTTTTTTTTTTAAACATAATTTAGCAATTTTGAATTGTTTTTGTGTTGGTTTTGGCAATTTTTAAAAATGTCAGTGTTTTCATAAAAGCCTTATTTTTACGCCCATCCCTGCCCACATGCATTCATTCTCAGTAGAGCGGTTGCCAGCTGATAATTTGGATCTCCGAGACAGGAATGTTCTTTGCTTAGGTATCAGATCAGACAGACTACAGTTGTTTGTTTTTTTTTTTTCGATATGCGATCCTGGAATTCTGACCCATATCATCATGGGTTCCGAGTTACGTTGCGGCCGTATGAATTTTATTCCAATGTAAGTCGAGAAGCCCCTGCATCACAGTAGAGGATGATTTACCCTTTTTTTTTGTCCCATTGTGTGTCCAACTCCACGACTCCATCCACAGCTTGTCCACCATTACTCCGGAGGAAATCGGAACCTGATCCACATGAATATTTTAGCACTATCAGATGTTCACTCGATAGACGAACGGCACCGCGCTGCAGCTGCCGTCCTGGCGGTGTCGTTGTTACAACGTTTCCCTTCACAGTAAACAGAATGTTTCCTGTTCAGACTACTTTGTTCCATCACCTTACGGCCTATTCACACGGTATTAAAGCAGGATCTGCCCTATTATCTACAACGCCCTTAATGACGTTTATCACTAGCTGGGTTTACTTTTGTGTTGACTGATCTAATGGACCGTCATCTCTCTGTTGTAACCGAAACATGATCGTTTAAAATGATCATGCAGGATGGATACCGGTTGACTGATGTTCTCCTAATTGAGATATTAATTTACTCATAATAATAAAAAAAAATCAGTTTGGGTTATTACTTCCGTTGTCTATGCTGTTTTATCTCTTCTCTCATTCTTATCATCATATCCAATCTGGTATATACTGTATATACACATGTATATATATATACATATATATTACTACCTTGAGGGATTTTGGCTGCCTGTCATCATCTAAAGCGGCGTCGTGTTCCACTCTCTGGCAGTCTGTGTGCAGCCAAACTTTGAGGTCTGGAGTTGTTCCAAAAGTTACAGGATCGAGTGTGATGCAACCAGGAAATGGCCCGGGGCTTGAAGCTGAGACAGAGGGCCCCCTAAGTGGATGAGTCCAAATTTTTTTTTTTTTTTGAAGTACTTAAGTCTAAGCTATCTGTACAATATGTACACTGTTTAATCATACTGTCAGGCAAACTGACATTTCTGACCTCTGCTGGTCGGCTGCTGGCTACTGAAGTTACTACAAAGTTACCGGAATCGGAAAAGCTTTTCCATTGTGACAGCACGTTGGTGACTTTCATTAGGTGACGATTTTATTTTTATTTATGTGGGTGTGCAGAATAAAGCAGACTTTATTGTTTTTTCATTGGGCCTGGTCATTCTCATTTTCCCCCCCCCCCCCCACTCCCCTGGGTATCTTTTTTTTTAAATGCCACTGGATGCAACCCAAACAAATCTGACATGTGATTTGATTTAAACCTCCTCCTCCTGGTTTCTGCTCCAGCCTCCAGACTCTGTAAAACTGCTGAGGTCACAGGAAACCCACAGCTACACTCACATTCTCACAGTTGTGTTGATGGCATCCTGGCCAAAAGGGCTGCACTTCAACGAAAAAAATACATCCAGGAGATGCAGTACCAAGAGAACGGCAGGTCCAGGACGAGCACCAGAGTCAAGATCACTGGAGCTGTGACAGAGGGGAACGCGGCATTGATGACACAGACCATATGTGTCTCTGCAGCAAGAATAACATCTGACTGAGCTAAATGCATATCTCAGAAGACAAACGTTCTGTACAGACTTCCTCGAGAACTCTAGCGAGGGGCAGAGAAGGGGAGAATGTGGTTTGAAAAGGAACATCAGCCAAATCATCAGTGTGGTTCAATTCAGTCGGACAGCCCATCATTATGGCGTAGTAAATGGTTGTAGCACCGTGAGGTTGGTTGGATGGTTTTCGACTTCTCTGGCACCTACAAATTCAACCCAAAAATCTTATATGAACCCTAACTCCCTCCTCTGAATCATCAAGCTTCCAAACTAAACCTTCGCTCCGGAGAAAACTTCACTTTCTAGGAAGTAAGTCAGCTTCTTCACTATAGCTAAAAACTTTAACCCTCGGCTCCTGATAAACCGTATTACCCAAAGCAGAAAACTACTATCCATCCGTCCATCCATTTTTTTCCCCTTATCCGTTACCGGGTCGCAGCAGTCTCCATGACCTCCACCCAAATCACACTGCACCGTACCAACCCCCCCTGAACCTTCCTGTGGGTGGTGAGTCCACTGGAAGGTACCAACTGCCCTAACCGGGATTGGATCTTGCCCAGGAGGTGAACCCTGGGCTTCTCCACCAATGACAGAGACATTACCTCTGGGCCAAAGTACCACCCAACCTACTTGGATACCTTTTAAAATACAAGGGGCTCATCAACTCACGTCAGAATTCTGTTCCGGCAGTGAGACGTAAACCGATTTACGCCCCAAGTCGGAACTCACCTAGGTACGTTTGTTACTCATCTACCCCTGGCAACATCATAATCTAGGACAGGGGTCACCGTCCTTTCTGAAACTGAGAGCTACTTCAAGGGCGCTTAGTAATACAAAGAGCTACTTGTTTGATACTTGACTTCCTTGACAATGTAATAATAATTAGTTCTGGGACATCCGACGCAACCTTCACCATTTATCCGGGCTTGGGACCGACACTATCGACACACTGGTTTGTGCACCCTAGTGGCTGGTTTACCGTAGTCATTGCACCTATTTGAATATCATTTCAAGTGTACCTGATTCAAAAAGCCCAGGAACAGTACAATTTTTGACCCCTTTGTTGACTAGTTCGCCATCTGCCATATGTCGGAATAATGATGGTTTGTGCACCCTAGTGGCTGGTTTACCGTAGTCATTGCACCTATTTGAATATCACTTCAAGTGTACCTGACAGATGCCATATGTCGGAATAATGGAACAAGACTTCCTGAATGAGTTTATGGGAGATGGTGACATCCACAAAGGAGGTCGAGGGGGGTCATAGGTTGAGGATGTCGTTCACCGAGGACCTCCGGTATATGCAATGTTTTCCCGTTCTTGTTGCCTTGCTCTTGTTGTTCTTGGTCTGGTGTTGTCGATGACAGTTCACTCTCTGTGATGTTTCTGCATTTTTTCTGTTGTTATTATTACGTCAGGATAAAAAAAAAAACAAACAGCAGAAGGACTGTCGGTGTAAGAAGGTCAGTGAGGTCGCTGTCTGTGCTAACAGCGGCCGCTGCCCCGTTTAGACAGTGCGACAATGCTGACATGCGACCACTGGACTCTGTGTGGACCCTCAGACCTTAATGAGGTGGTCCGGCTGAAGGATGACACAACAATACCGCATTGTGTCTGTTTTTAGCGGAACCTACATGCAAGCGGATTAAAATAACCTGTGTGTACATTAATAGCATCATGTTGTTTTTTTTTTTTTGTTGTTGTTGGTTTTTTTTTTTTTGGAGTGCGGTTGAATATGTGAACACAGAGTTTTAGTTGCGATGACATGACTGACCACAAACACTTGGGAATTTTTCTCCCAGCAGAGCTTCCAGTTTATAAATACCCACCTATCTTACCTGGAAATCTGTGTGACTTCTAACGTACCTCCCCATGGTGTATATCTACTCACCTATCTACCCATAGATCACCATCATACATTCATAACAATCTATATTATTAGTCAACGTTCTATTAACATTGCACATGCCAACCTAACAATCCATTCTGCTTCTTGCTAGGTCAAGTCAGGTCAGTTTTACTTGTATAACCCAAATATGAAATTTTGACATGAACAGGGGAAAAGTGTAGGAATGTGCATACACACTCGATCGTATCTTAAAATGATATTAGCAAGACAAAGTGTAGCATAATTAGTAGATGGTAGACCCACTGTCCAGCCAAGTGTTTATTGTATTCACACCATCTAGTGGCATTAACTGAAAATGCAGTTTGAACAACTTTGTACCAATGTTTGATGGGCCACATTCCAAATCTGAACGGGCCATATCGTAGTTTACCACCAATAGTGTGGTCTTACTATTGCCTCTGTTTTCAGTGTTTTTTTTTATTGTCTGTATTTTCCAGTTCCAGACTATGGCTGTAAAATATAATTCGCGTCAGTGTGGACTGTGAACACGTTGTTTAGAGAATAAAAATGGTTAATCTTTTTTTTTTCTTCTTTCTGCCATCAAAGATCCAGATTAACCTGCTGAGAGTGTGCGTATGCGTGAGTGTGCGTGCAGCTAGCTTTTGATTGGCCACTGATACAGAGAGGGAGAGAGAGAAAGAGAGAAAGAGAGAGAGAGTCCTGGGTGGATCCTCCCACTATTTTCGATCATAGACACTTCTTAACTCACTCTCCTCCTCTCAGAGAGTCTGGACCAGGCCTCGGGGCTGAGCTCCACACACTCCCACACGCACACGCAAACACACGGTCGGAGCGCGTCATGGCAGCTACCCACAGCGAGTACCGAGGCTACCTGCGGAGCAGCGTGGATATGGAGGCCGGGCAGCACCGTTTCCAGCCGGCCCATAGTTCGGAGACCTGTACGTACCGACCGCTCCTGTTCGGAACCCTGGCTCTCATGGGTTTGCTCCAGGTGGCGTCCAGCGTGGCCATATTACTGCACCTGACAGGTTACCTGCAGGAGGTGAGTCCGCGGCCACTTTTCATGCTCGCACTTTCAAAAACATTACCTTCAGCAGCAACAGGCTGGTGATTCCCGCGCTGCTGCCATGCGTCAAAGCCGTCAAGTCAGACATGTTAGCGGCGAAAAGTTTATTTGTTTGATATTTATAGCTCCCCGAAACGCGTAAGCTGTGGTAAAGTTCGAATGTGGCGTCGTGTGCGATTGCGGCGTTACAAAGGAAGATCAAAAAGCAGGCAGAAAGTGGTGCCAGCGTCTGTGCGACATAGCTTCCTGTGCCTCAGCTCTGAGCCAGAGACAGGAACACGGGGAAAACAGAGACAGAACAGAGGGCTGCTGCTGCTGTTAATGCTGCTGCTGTTAATGCTGCTGCTGAGGCTGGTGTACACTTCTTTAACACACTGGGTGTGATGAAAAGTTCTTTTATTCACTCGAAACAAAAAAAGCGCCGCGAAACAAATAGTGCGTCGTCATTAAAAGCTAATTAAAGTAAAACCGTTCAAGGTTACTGAATGACAGTTATTCAGTATTTTAGGTCATTTGTTTTGAATGTTAGAAGGTAAGTAGAAACATTTTTATATTGTATTATGAAATATTAGAGCCTAGTTTGGCTAAAATTAAAACAATTGAAGTACTTGGTTGTTAATAGTCGTTAGTTACTCTATTAATTGGGTTGCGAAGTCTTTGTGTAAATCACTGTCATTACTGAGCGTTGTGATTTGAAAGGTCTCAATTAAAGGCTCTTAAGTGAGGGTTTGATATGTCATTGTTGTATTAAAACAATAAAAAAATTATAATTATGTTAACTTTACCAAGAAAATGGTGAGGAAAAAGTCAGTAATTGGAATTAAAAAACTAAAATTGTGAAAGAAAAAAAGTGTTTTGAAGCAGTCTTCAACTACGTGTGTTAATACAAAGTAGAGAGCCATTAATTTGCGATGATGAAACCTTATGTTTTTTTTTTTTCCCCCCTCCACTTGTTGAAAAAAAAATGCCTCCAGATATTTACTCTCAGAAGAAGCCTCTCTGCTGTTGAACTTTTCCTCACACTGCAGGGATTCTCATGTGACTGCGTCTTGTCTTAGACTCTCCCTCGCTGCATCTGCCCGGCTGCATATATCATCCGCGTAAAGGACAACGCAAGAGATGTCTGGGGTTGTGTTTGTAAGAGTGCAGATGTTTTCACTCACACTGCTCCACTGTTTACATGCCTCGCGCAGCTCAGATCTGTCACTAAGAGCCTGTCTGTCATAAGCTGTAAACTGGGAAGCATAAGCAGAGGCGCTCTGTAACTCAAACACACACAGATACTCATCTGCATTCTTTTAAGGCTTTGCGTCCTGGTCTGTTTGTTCCTGGCAGATCATCGGTACCAGCAGCTTAACTGCATCCTGATACTGATAATCCACTGTTTTTTTGTTGTTGTGCATTTTGATAATATTCGTGTTTCCACAAGCTCATCTGTGATACAGGAGTAGTTTATGTTGATGGATTTACCAGATACTGACACTTAAGATGGTATAAGGGCAACCTCTATCCTGGAGTGTTCTCTCACACAAGAAATAATGTAAACCCACAGGCAAGAACAAGAAGTTGAATTTTAGCCTCTTTCATTTCATCTGAAAGAAAATGTAGACCTTCAAACAAACAGAAAAGACAAGTTTAAATCTCTTTCTAAACTTACATGCTAAAGTGCGTAGAAAAAATTACCTTGACTTTTCCATGCGCTGCTATTTATTTTACACTGAATAAATGCGTTTGTGACTTTAATGTTTTAAAGTTAGCGAAATATGTGGGTCCTCAAAACATTGAGAAATATACCCCCCCGCCCCCAAAAAATATAATTTTTACAATTATTATTCTTTCTGTAAACACTTGTCCTGAACCGTTCAACATGTCACCTACCATCCCATTCTCAAGTTTCCGATGGTACCTGAACACATCTTGTATGACAGCTGCAACTTCAGCATTACAATGTCATAATCTGTGAATACCTGGCGGTTTAAAGCTGCTAGCTTGCGCGGATAGGTTTTTGACAAGCAATAGACTGAAGGAGCAGAACGACAGTTTTAATATTCAGTGTTGAAAACATGTTTAGAAGAAAATACATTCTAAAAGGTGAACAATATTTTGTAGCATTGTCTGTGGGTTTGCAAAGGAGATGATGAGGAAGCATGGGCTGTTTTGGGGGGCCTTGGGATGGAAAAGTCTAGGAACCCCTGGTTTAGATCACTTTTGTGACATAAATGGACCTCAGGGACCAGTAGTAGACCAGTACTCACTGTTGCCTAAGTCTCGATATTCTCGTATAGAGTGGTTAACAGTTCGGTAAAGCTGTTAACAGTGTCTTCTGATATTTTAAACTTAAGATAAAGCCAAAGTACACTTTTGTTGGTGATTAGTGTCAAGTGGCCAAAGTCAGTTATTCTTGACGTCCAATGAGAAGCCTCTGTGCCTTAGCTTGGTTCACAGACCCAGGGGATGCTGGCTGAGCATGTTACACATCTGCACTCTAATTCACCTTGAGAGCATCTCTGCCTGCCTTTCTCTCAGTGATTTTGTGGTACATTTCTTTGGCATAAACATGTTGCTGTGTATAGTCATGTTTACTGGAGTTGGGCCAGAGTGGAGAAACACCGGAGTGAAAGGAGATACAACTATGACCTTGTGTTTCCACAACTACACTACACTTCCCAGATTGTTGACATTCCGAGTCACGAGGTCAAGAGTTGATTTTTCAATCTGTTCAATTTGGTACGTGCATCTTAAAGTACAGATAAAAAGACAAGAAACCTCGTCCAACTCCTCTCTGTTTTCATATGATTTTTTTTAAACACGCAAAGTGAAACCAGACGTTTGTCTTGGTGGTTGTTTGAGAGACTTTCAGGCCCAATTTTCTCTTTGGATTGGTGATCAAAACGGACACATAAAAACCAGATTTTTTTTTTTTACATCTGCTGATAAAATTCAACTCAGTTGCCAAGTCGACAGTGTCTTAGAAATAATTTCAGTGCTTTATCTGGATTTCTGCCTGCTTGTAACTTCATCACTCTCTCAGGCGAGTGGTCATAGGGACAAGTCTAAGTCTTTGCAGATTTAATAATGACTCAATCGGCAGACTAATAGGTTCCTTGTTCTTTTAAAACCTAAATGACTTGTTTTCTCCGTGGACTTTATTGAGTGAGAAGAAGCACTGAGTAAACTTTATAATAAAAAGAATTTAGCGGGAGCATCCACTGTAACACCACCCAAAAAAAAAAAAAGATGTTAGTCTTCACCTTGACTTGGTCCGTGTCCCTTTTTCGACTTGAGGCTCCATGTATCCACAGCATAAGGTCATGCTAAGCTTCAAGCTGCTCACATTTCTAACTCCCTCAGTCACCTGCGGTACGTCCTGTAGGTGAAGGAATGTAGGAAACGGTACCACACACGGTGAGTGCCTGCTCATTAATGCGCCGGAATCGGTGGCTTTTAGGAACGATTCGGGGAAAAACAACAACAACAAAATGCGTTGATTCAGACACGGGGAATGTATCTGTGAGTGTGTATGTGTATGAGTGTTCATGTGTGTTCTTCAGGTTGCACCAAAAAAAAACAACAACTTGTGGTCAATTTGTGGTGTTCATGTGTGTTCTTCAGGTTGCACAAACAAAACCAACTTGTGGTCAATTTGTCTTAATGTCTTTGTTAAAATTGGAGAAGACGCAGGAGAGAATGTACAGCAGGTCTGCTGAGGTGAAGAGGGGAGTGGAAAAATAACCGACGTTCATAACTGACTCCATCTCTCGCCCCATGATGTGTTCATCTAATTATAAACATTGTTTCTACACTAAACGGTCTCTAACTTGTTCTCGTTTTTTTTTGTGTCTCCAGGTTGATCTGTCCACGGCTCCTCATCGGCCAATTGAGGTTAGTCTTTGACTCCCTAACACACACACGCACACACGCACGCATGCCAAAAGAGTTCAAGCAGGATTGATACGAGATTGTTTGGGTCAGCAAAACCCAGACAGGGAGATTTCCAGTGACAACATTGTTGTCGACCACAATTTTATCTCACTGTTTTTGGTAGGATACTGTTAACAAGGACGCAGCTGCTCGTCTACTGTCGCCTCCTGTTGTTGGTTCACGGCACTAAGATTAAAATGAAGTGAAGGATTTCAAACACTACCATCTAGAAATGTTCCCGTGTAAAGTTCCAAATCAACACCTCCTTTTTCCTGTCATTTAAAAGCACAAATATTCTCTGAGACGATTGATTAGGGACGTTTGATAAAATTTTATTGCCAATATCCAAAATGCTGGTATTGTCCCAACACTTTCTTTCCGATTCCGATATCAACCAATACCGATGTAACCGTTTAAAACTACTATAAACGTCTTAGGACCCCACAAACAATTCGAGCATATTTGGAGAAACCCGAGCATTGCGTTGTCAGGTTTCATTATTGACAACGGTTAACCGATAACGATTCTTACCGTATTACATAACTAAGCTAATATCAGCCCGATAATATCTGTCGGCCAATGCTATCGGACCTCCCTACATCTGATGCGATGAAAATCTGAGCTCTGTATAGAGTCTTCAGCCTCGGGTGTTTTTTAACGTACTCAACGTGGCAGCTGCGTTTCCAGTGCAGTCAGGTGACCCGCCTTTTTTTTTTTTTTTTTTAGTTTTGATTTGCCTCAAACAGTCCGACTCTTAAAATGCGCACATGCCAGAGACTAAGCTTCATCTGTGGCTGAAACGTCTTGAGGATGAGCAGATACTTCCGTGCAGGGGAAGCACCAAGAGATTGTTATGATTGTGTGCGTGTGTGTGGTGCGTACGTCAGACCTTTCGGATGCGTCGTGAAACATGGGTTGTTGGTCCTGTGGCCACAGCGGTGGATCTTGTTGTTAGTCTCGGAGCTTACGTAGCTGGAATGACCTGGGATCATCTCGGAATGCCGCGGCGAGTCCTTAATCTGCCTCACTGTACTAATTTCAATTCTTTGTGTGTGGTTTTCTGCATTGGTAATGTTTCGTTTTCAGGTGTGTTCTCTTTTCTTTCTTTTGTTTCGTTGTTGCTGGCTCCTAATGAGATAAATACCAGGGCACAGTGGAAAATAGTAAATCAAACTCTGAACCCTCGGGGCATCGTAAAAACTTTTCCTGCCACATGTTATTTACCATATTCACTTTCCAAACCTCTGTTGTTTCATTAATAACACCATCATTCCACTCACTTAACAGAATAGGTTTGTTAGGGTTGAGGTTTTATGAGGTCACAGTCTTACGTGTGGTCACCGATGAAAAGTCTGGTTATGGCCCAGTGTCACTGTGAGACAGATCTTTTCCGGTTGCTTTGGAAAACTTTCCCTTCCTGCACCCAAGTCCACAGCTGCTCCTTCAGAGCAAAAAAAAAAAAAAACAAAAAAAATTGATATGTCTACGCCAGGGATGGCAAACATAAGGCCCGTGGCCCAAAAACGGCCCGCCGGGATGTTCAATCCGGCCCGTTTGATTTATACTTTATTACTTTATTTTCATGATGATTTGTGAAATTATATCTCATTGAATATGAAGATGTATCTAGTTTGACACACCTGGCCTTCGCACTCTAGTATTAGACAATACGTTTCGTAGAACAGTCAATATAAATATAAAACAATTTGAATGAAACCCTTGAAATTGTTGAATATAAAATCAAATTGATTGAAATCAAATCTCCATTGAGGAAAAAATAGCAACTTTGCATTTTTCTATCCACTTTTACCATCATCAACAAAGTCAAAGTTTAAGAATCTTTGTTGTTATTTTCCCAAAGTGCAGAAATAGTATTTCCTCACTATGTTCCTGGGCAGTCCTATCTGGTTCGGAATACTTTTCTTTATTTAGTAGTCATGTAGTTATTCCCAGACTGCTGCAGCACAAAAAACCACGCATCAAAACGTCGAGCGGAGCGACCAAATCGCCGCTTAGGAGAACTATAAAAATATCATTGGTGAGTGAGCGTAAAGGCCGTGGGAGGCGGTAAAGGTAGGAGCAGAAAACAAAACACTTAGTGATAATTTGAATCCTGTGCCAGATGTGGCAGGGACTTGGCAGCGGTGGCGCTGAAACTGTTTACTTGCCTGGAAACAGTGTTTTCCTTCAGAGTATCTGCTGTGTCTTGCCTGAAGACGCCGGCCCGCCGACGGCTCAGACTGCGCAACGGCGGCAGAGTGAGCGGAATTAGCACACGCGGGGCGGGGAGGGAGGTGAGGGTGCACCCAACCCAGATCCAGATTCAGATTCACGATTCAGGATTGTGTGTTTTCTGTGCCAGGTCCACGAGGGGCACAATGGAGCTGAAAGGTTATACTCTCAGCAGGAGGCCATGCTGTCACTGAGACATACTGTAATAAAGCATACAGCAGTCGCACACACACACACACACACAGAGAGAGAGAGTCTATATATGCTCATTCACGTCCTGCGTCTCCCTCTCCCTCAGCGAGGGGGAGATTGGGAGAGACAAGAGAACAAAGCTGTGGTCAAACATGACAGACTGTAAAATAGTGTTGCTTTATAAAGACAGAGCTGAGGTTTTTCCTCCAGCCTGCCTTGGGTCAGATACTGACACTCGGTCAGCATTGCTTTCTCCCAAAACCCATTCTGAGGCAGAGGCACAAACTGTCACTAAAACCAGGGCTGCCAACAGCACAGGGATAAAGAGAAAAAAAAACAAAAAAAAAAACCCACATTTTATCCAGCGTTTCACTACTTCCTGACTCATTATTATGTATCTTCTGATCCTAGCATTATGACCGATGATTGTTTTTTTTTTATCCTTCCAGCTGTTGCGCCAAGTCAGGCGTGGGCAAGCTTTTTGACTCGTGGGCCACAATTGTCCTAAAATTAAACAGGGGGGAGGGGGCCGGGTCAGGAGCAGATAGATGGAGCGATCGTGTGAACTAAGTAATAAATGACATGTAAAAGTCATGCATAAAGATTTTTTTGACGATATCCATTGGGGAAACATGGGTGTTGTAAATACAATTTGAAAAAGTTTGCCTGGCCGGATGAAAAAGCTGAACGGGCCGCATCCGGCCCCCGGCCCTTAGTTTGCCCCCCCCTGCCTGCTCTAAGTTCAATTTCCTCTTGTTTCTGCAGGAGGTACAAACGGAGCCAGTCCTGAACGCATTGAAAGGCACAAAGAAAAACCGACGCTGTAAAAGTCCAAAGGAGGGTCTGCCATCGGCTCATCTACCAATCAGAACGTATCAGGAGTACTCCAAGAGTGAGTATGCTTTTTTTTCTTTCTTTCGAATATAGCTTGGATGTTGTTTTTTGGTACTCTACACAGTGGAGACAATGGAAGCACGAGTCTAACCAATACTGGTGTAATGTGTGCCATCGTCCTGCAGAGGGCGAGCAGGCCATCACCATCGACTGGGACGAGGATCATGGCTACTGCAACAGGATGGATTACCTAAAGGGCAAACTCGTGGTGAAGGAGCTGGGCTACTACTACGTCTACGCGAAAACCTGCTTCCGTTACTACAGACACGGACCCGAGGACAGCAGCCAGCCGGCAGCGCCCCCCGTGGACATAAGGAACACACAGCTGATTCAATACGTGTACCGTGAGAGCATCAAGCAGAACAGCAAAGCCATTATGCTAATGAAGACGGGCAGCACCGTTCGCCTCAACAGCACCAGTTACAACATGTACTGCGCTCAGCAGGGACGAGGCGTCCACCTGGAAAATGGAGACGCGCTGTACGTGAACGTGTCCAACGCCTGGATGTTGGACCTGGAGGGAGAAGGGACGTATTTCGGGGCCATAAAGTTAGGGAACTGAAATTTTTTTTTTATCCAAGAAGAAAAATGAAAAGAACAGTCTTGTGGAGAGCTGACATGCTACTGAACATTTAATATCGCCATGAAACCACTGTTAGGGAGTCTTTCACTGCCACCGCAGAAATATGAAAAGGAATCAGAGTCGTAGGCTGATAACCTGGGAGTCGAAACACAAGTCACAAAATTGACTTTATATCGTGTGTCATAACAAAACTTTCACGTTAAAACGTATCAATTATCATAAAATGATATTAACTTTGTTGCAAAATGCATAAAATATTGTAAAAAAAAAAATATATATATATATTATGTCATCAAATTTACTAATTTTGATCAAATCCAATTGTAATTATAAAGTGAAAAATAGCAAATGTTAAAGTTATGTTTCCCTTCCTTGGGACCGACCCTTTCGATCAAAGCTCTATTCTCGGTGAATATTTTTAGTAAATACTTTGAAGTATAAGTAACCTACAGCTATAGCTAACTCTTTCCAAAGCTTTACAAACTTTGTGATGCTGTGTAGATCTTTCTGGCTGATCATTTTTGATTTTTTTTTTTTTTTTTTTTTTTTTTTAAATTAGACTAAAATGCTATTCCGGCTAACTTTTAGCTGTTTTTTGGCTAATATTTAGCTATCTTTACTGTTATTTGTAAATTCTTTTGCTAGTTTTTAAATTTTTTTTTTTTTATCCAACTGATTTAATAATTTTGGCTAAAATTACGTTATCTGGGGCTACATCGGTGGTTCTCAATTATTTCTCAATTATTATCCCAATTATTAAGACAGACCTATGTTCGTCAAATCCAAAAGTCAAATTAATTGATATTTTTGGTCTCCCTTTTTTTCATTACTTTTTTTGGGTCACGTTCTGAAACTGTAATTTCAACAGTTTCGTTCTGAAAGTATGAGAATTCACACAAAAAATATTCACATTAAAATGGGGTTAGTAATTATGTGGTAAGAATTTTTACAAGTCGTTGTTACAGTTACATGAAACATTTTTCATTCTAGTCATATTCTGTGGTGGCGGTGAAACACTCCAGTACGTTTATTCTTTAAAAGTGTGTCGTTCGTATTTCTTTTCTCCACCCGAGGTCTTGGATGCTAGGTTGAGAACGTCCAAAAGACAAACCCTCTGTTGCTCTGTCCCTGAGATCTGAGCTCTGACTTCATCCAAACAGCACTGGACTTTTAGTTACAACTTTGTTTTTCTTTGGTTTTACAACAGCTCTGCAGTTTGTTTCAACCCATTTCGGTTGACACTACAACCTGTGTGCGCTCTGGTGGAAACGAACCTTCAGTGAGGAATTTGAAGGAAGGATTTATCAGTGATTATCACTGGCAGAAAAGGACGTGGAACATCTGCTTCTCGTCAGCAGATTAAGGCCCAATTAAAATAACAAAAAAACGTTTTCCGGCCCCCGATCCTCCGACCCGTGGCGAAAAACGAACGTTTAGGCAAAGATTCGCATGGTTCTCTGAAAGTTGTTGTAAGTGTGAACGCAGCAGGAAATGAGGCGTCCTCACAGTAAGTAACTCAACGCCGTCGTCTGAAATAAACACTTGGAGGCTGATTTACGACGCCCTACCAATCTCCTAGGAGCCATTTAGACATGGACGACTCACTCTGACGCTTGGTCGTTCGTAGAAAATAAGCCTTTTCTACACTGCTTACTTTATTCCCACGTCAAAAGGAAAGTTTGGGAAATTTCTGGAGTGGAGGGAACCAGAATATCAGTGTCAGACATGGACAAATGAAATCTTAACAAAAACAAGTCCGACAATGGGGAAGCTTCGGGAAAAAAAAGCCACTAAGAAAATTTAACTTTTTTTTTTTTTTTTTTACTGGAAACTAATCCTTTTTAAACATCTTTAAAACATCTTTTAAACCAAGATTTATAAGTCCTAGCTCTCGTGTTCACAGGAGTTGAGGGTCTACTGCTGCCTCCTGTGGTCGGTTTGTGTCACTAAGGTTCCGAAAGGATTTCAAATAGTATAGCACAGGGCCACAATTGTCCTAAAATTGAACGGGGGGGGGGCGATCGTGTGAACTAAGATAAATGACATGTAAAAGTCACGCATAATGGCTAAAATACTTTTAACATTTTCTACTCCATCTATTGGAGAAATGTGGGTATTGCAGGGAAAAGGCAGAAGTATAATGATGGTATAAATAAATTTAAAAATTTGGAAAAAGTGGGCGGGCCGGATCAAAAAGCTGAACGGCCCACATCCGGCCCCCGGGCCTTATTTTTCCCATTTCTGGTACAGCACATTGGGATAATGATTGCAATTGTGGATCAACATTAGAATCTGTGTAAAAAAAAAATGTATAAAAATAAATTAAAAAATGTGTTTATGTGGAAGATACACAAAATAATGTGTAATTTTGGGGGAAAAAAAATAGTCGCGACAGTCGTGTTTGCTAAGAGCGAGTGCGGCCGAATCCAAACATTTCATGCCTCGGATTCCTTGTGTACCACCACATATACAAATTGCAGTGAGTGAAATGTGGAAATAGTCAACCTTAAATGGCCCCCATCACTGACCTGGCTTAATATCGAACGTATGCTCGTGCACAAACTCGCAGTGCAGTGCAGATCTGTAGGCAGTTAAGGACACGGCCGATTTACTCCCGTCAACGTTCTCGTTGACATTAAACCCCAAAACCTTAAGAACTAATTTAACCAAGGCCGGGACTGGAACCGCAGCCCGAAGAACTAAGATCACCACAAAGCTGTGTTCCTCCAGCTATATGAAGATCTTCGTAGTCTTCCGCGTAACATTTGACATCACGAATATAAAGAGCTGCGGCTTCACTGAAGAATACCGGGCAAAGGAAATATCGAGGAAGAAACGCCGTCTTTGTTTATGACGAAGAACAACAACAACAACAACAAAAGCAAAGCAGATAGCTGGACTGTCTGAGCCTCTTCACTAGAGGAACCAAGTTGACTTTGGTTCCTTTTTAACTTAAATTTCTTCTTCTTTTTTTTTTTCTTTTTTTTTCATTTTTTTTTTCATTTGGCTCCTCACCGAGGTAAATGGGAATATGCACTAATATTTATTTATTAGCTACGGCAGCACAGAGGAGCCTCACTGTGACAGTGACCTCCTGGCTGTAAAAGTCAAGTTATATTTTAAAATAAAAATGTGTCTCTGAGACATTCATTACGCAGCACTTAGAGAAAATACTAGACACGCTTCTCTTTATTCAAACACAGGGGCTTCAGTTTAATTTCCGTATTTATGTATCATGGTTTGTGTTGTTTTTTTTTTTTGTTTTGTTTTTGACAATTCTGTGCACTTGTCTAGCCAAAGCAATACTTTATTTTTTATTGTTTCTTCTACAAGATTGTAGCAAACTTGTAAAAAAAATCTATCTGATATTTTTTCCATTATGTGTTTTTTTTTTTTTATTTATGTTGTATATGTTCTAATAAAAACTTAATTTTGTAATAGTGTTTCGTGTTTGGTTAATCAAGTCAAAGGAATGCGCAGTACATTGAAATAAAAAAAAAACAAGCAACCAATGAATTATTTTTCAATGTATATTTATATGATATAATTTTATATATTATTATTTGAATAATTTGAATAAAATTATTAATTATTTGAATTTATTTCATTATTATTTAAACATTATGAAATTGTTTTTTTTCATATCATTTCATAGCTTTTGTCTTAGTCGAAATTGCTTCCAGTCATATTTATATCTGTTTATACTTTTTATCCAATCATATTTCAGCCTTGTGTTGCCAGGGGAAGGAACCAGGAGAAGGAAAATCTGCCTGAAGGCCTTCAGCAGTGCAGTCTAAAAACGAATGGCAGTGAAATAGTTTCTTTAGCCAATCAGCTCAGAGTTGGTGACACCAAGGCCTTCGCGCTTCTATACAATCGCTTTGGCCATTCGAGCGATTTGATTGGACGGTCAAACAGACAGACAGGGGGAGATGCTGAGAGATGCTACGATGCATGAGCCAATCAGCATGAGGAACAGAAGAGCACACTCAATAAGCGAATAGCACACCGAGTACTTTTAGCCAATCGTGGGCTGTGTACGATCTCGTCTAGGTCAACAAAGCTACCAGCGATCGTTCTTACTCTTGTGCCAGAACAAAGGGAACGGAGAAGGATGATTGCTTTGATGATTAGAGCGATTACCTTTTCATCTTCGTCTGTCATTAATTAATTAAGTCCCAGCCCTTAAAAATCCCCATCCTATTGTTCTGTTTCATCGGTAAAACCAGGGAGACGACCCATTTGGAATTTAGCATCCGCTAGAAACAGACAATGAAGTTTAAAGATGACAACTTCACCCTTACTTGTGTGTGTGTGTGGTTTTAAATGTTGGACTGTGTTGCAAAAAAAAAACAGTTCTCCCATTGTCTGCAGAGAGACATTCACCAGCCAAGGTTCTCTTTCCTGTTATGGTTTTTTTTTTTTTTTTTTTTTTTGCGTGTGTTGTCTGGACCTCACACGTCTATAAACAATTCTGTTGAAATAAAATCCAAGCCAGAAAAACGTTGCAAAGGTGCACCGGAGCGGAATTACTTTTTGAGCTCTGACTTTTGGCCTCGGGGTCAGTGTTGTTCAACCTTGGAACTGTCACCTGAACTGTCAGATTGATAAAAGGATTTATAAAAATATTTCTCGAACCGATTATTGCTATTCTTCTAAGACATAATTAAAAAAAAGATTTGAGTTCAAAAGAAATTCGGCAGATTAAAAATATCTGAGCTGTTGCACGTTGATGTCTGTCTGTGATGTCTGTGATCATTCAACTGTTAACAAGTTACTAAAATGTCTCCGGGGGTTGCCAGATATTTGTGATGTCAGAATGATGTCATAAGCCAAAAAAAAAAACAAAAAAAAACAAAACAGGTTGAGAACCGCGCACTTGTTTTTCTGCTACTTGGCGTTGTCGAAAAACTAGCAAGAAGTCCGTCAATTTACGATATAAAACACAAGCTTATCGCAGTTATTTTAAACCATCTATTGCTAGCGTGTGTGCTAAGCTAAACAGGAAGCACGCGGCAGAAATCCAATCAATTCGAGGGAATTCTTGCAAAACGAAACAGATCAAGGTCACATCCGAAAGACTTTAATTTACAAGTGGTGCAAAATTCAAACGCTAGCTCGATGTTCGTTCCACAAAATACGTTGCGGGCCTTTGCGATTTTAAGACAAAAAGTGCAGCATTAATACGTTAAGAATATATTTTACAATAAAAAGAAATAAATAATGTGGATAAAATGTGCAGAAGCAAGCAGAACGTAGCGCTACAAAATAAAACGTGAGGCGAATCAAAGAGTTCACTGTTAGCGGCACCAAGCGTTTTTGTACCGAGGACCGGTCGTCCGCGCCATCGTTGAAGGATCATTTTCAAAATAAAACATCTTTTAGACTTTTTTGTTAGTTAATGAAAAAAGTTAAACGACATGACTGGATTCTTTTTGAATGAAGTGAATTAGTAAAACTGAAGTACATTCCTTCACTGTGTCCCACTGCGGACCGGTACCAAATGACTTACGGACCGACACCGGTCCCCGGACCGGAGGTTGAGCACCCGTGATTTAAAGTTTGATTTAACTTTTATTAAACCTGGGAGGGAAAAGTCCAGCCAGGCTGTGTTAGCACTTCACTCTCTTACTTTCTGGTTTCCATTTTTTATACTGTGCCCAGCTGAAAAATATTTAATATATTTATTATGAAACGTAATGGAGGATGTGGAGCCCCGCAACTAAACCCACATTTACAGAACCCCCCACCCCAAAAAAAAAAAAAAGGTTTCACTTGCTTTGCTGCGCTTCGTAAAAGAAAAAAAATACACATTTGGCAGCAGAAAAAAAACCCAGAGTGTTTTACATTTTATTACTCTCATATGTAACAACACATAGTAAGCTAACTCACGTCCATTCCGTGTCAGCGCAGGCACGGGTGGCTTACATACGGTGGACTCCTGGCTGCAATTTTTTTTTTTTTTCACTTCTGACAACGGGTTATTAGATATTCCTCCAGCTCGGGTGGAAAATCAATTAAACTATTTGGATTTTTTTTTTTTTTTTTACGAGCGTGCATCATAAATATATTATTGCTGTTATATTTCCGCGTATTAAGAAAACAAAATATGCTGGAAAGTAAACGGGCTTGTGTCCCCCCCCCCCCCCCATCCAGGAGTGGATGAAGATGTAAATGGTGTTGAAGGAACTTTGGCTGCTTGGTTTTTTTTTTTTTGTTTTTTTTTTTGTTTTTATGAGACTCTGCGGTTTGGAGGAAATGAGGCTGTGACGAGTCATCGGGAGCTGCAGGGCCGGGCTTTGTTAGTTAGTGTGGCGTCAGGTTGCTATAGTGTTGGACACTAGGGTGATGCAGGTCTAAGGTGATGCTTGAAGGTCCTGTGCTAGGTCGGTTCGCGGCATGGGAAAAAAACCCGTCTTAGTCACTTAAAAAAAATATGCTCCACTAGTAAAAGCTACATCACAGATATTGATAAATATAAAAAAAAATTTCATCCACTTATCTGTTACGGGGTCGCAGTCCACTGGAAAGGCACCAACCGCCCTAACCGGGATTCGAACCCTGGGACAGAGACATTGCCTCGTTTGTTTGTTTTGTAATTGTTTTTTAACTTTCAGTTGATTTGTTTGTTTGTTTTTTTCGTTTGTTTGTTTTGTAATTGTTTTTTTAACTTGCAGTTGATTTGTTCATTTTTTAAAAATGTTTTTATACTTATACTTACACAAACTGACCACACGAGGCAGCAGTTACAGCATTACAAAATGTCTCCGTTGACTATAGTATGTG